CAGCAAGCATCTGTGGTTCGTTACTGCTGCTAAATTGCATGTAATGTGTTATCTATTTTACATTGTGCAATGTTGGACATGTACACTGAATGGACCCAAACTGTCCTTAAACTGCATTTTCACTGCCAGATTCGACTGCAGTTTATCATAACATTCTGAAATGCACTTCAAACGGTAACTCGTATGCACTTTGTGTTCAAATGCAAGTGATTCTAAGTACAATTTTAAACTGTTCGTCGCTTACACATAAAGAGTAAAGACAAGTGTCTCGGGGCGTGTCTAGCCCCCCCCCCCTCCCCCGTTCCATTCGAGCGTGAGGGGTGAATCACTCAGCATTCTGGTGTACACGTGAGTTCACGAGTAATGGTGAGTACACCTCCAAAAACTCTAAAAGGCTTTATTTAGTGTTTCAGATAATTCGCAACACCAAATCTTATATAACTAGCAAATTTTGCTATTTTTGAGCATGTTAGTAGGCTAAGAACAGGCCTATTTGTACACATGAGTACACCAGTGATTCACCCCTCGTTCGAGCCCCCTAACGAAACGTCCAGATCCGAGGAGTTTTGGTTGGTTGGTGGGGGGGGGGTCCTCTCCAGGCCGTCCCGGCGGGCCAGGTAGCGGGGATTCGGGGATACCCGGCGCTGCCAGGCCGGGAGTATCCACCACAAGAATAAGGGAGAGGGGGGCACATAGTGACACGGGGCTAGTAGTGACAGTTCGTGTTTCGTACTGTTCCCGCGCGATTTCTGCCCTCCTAATTTTTCATAAGCTTTGTTTCAAGTCCAGAACGATGTTTTGAGAAGGTGGTGGAAGAGAGAGAAGTGGGAGCGAGGGGTGAATGACTCAGCGTTCTGGTGTGCACATGAGTACATGAGTACGGGTGAGTACACCTTACTTTGCTCACAAATTTCGCATTTGTAAACGTTTAAAGGCTTTATTTAGCGTTTTAAACGACACAACGCCAAATCAAGCGAAAAAGTACAGAATTTCACCCTTATTAAACTTGTGAGTACACTGAGTACGGGCAAATTTGTACACATGAGTACACTAGTGATTCACCCCTCGAGTGGGAGGGGCGTCATTAATTTTGGGAAATTTGACCCTCCGGAAACGAGGCATAACCTAAATTTTCTTTCCATATTTGAAGTCCTGTAGCATGTCTTTAATGATATTTGAAAGCTTATCATATGTTTCTCCGTTTGCTCTACATGTCAATACGTCATATCGACCAAATATTTAATTGGCTGAGCGATAGCGAAGCCTGTTACTCCAGTGGGGTTGAAAAGTTTTGTCTGTCTGTCTGTGTGTCTGTGTGTCTGTGTGTCTGTGTGTCTGTGTGTCTGTGTGTCCGCACTACTCCTCCTGAACGGCTCGGCCGATCTCGGTGAGATTTTGCACACTTCTTGGGTATGTCCTTGGCTCGGCACACGCGAAATTTCACCATCCTAGCTCAACTGGTTCAGTTTTTATGGGCGAAAAACACCTAAAAAACGGCGAAAAATAGAGATTTCTGCAGATAGACCACTTCTGTCTTGGGGAAAGGGGGGTCTGGGGGGCGGAGCCCCCCAGCCTCGACAAGTTAAAAAGTGACAAGGGTCAAGATCGAGTTATCTGTAGATAAAACAACTCTATTTAGAATGGAGGGGGGTCTGGGGGGCGGAGCCCCACAGCATCCAACAAGTTAAAAAATAACTGACAACGGACAAGCCATTGCCTGCCGCAGGCAGGCTAGCGCCGCAGGCCAAGGTAGGTACGCCAGGCGTGGATTGGAGGAACAGGCAGCGAGACATCGCGAAGCCTGTTACGACAAGACGCGGTCTGGCGTAAACCTACCTTGTGTATCAGTCGATCTGGATAAAGGAGGTTAAGTTGCAAAGTTTACTTTGTCTCATGGGGTAAATAGTGACAAAAATTCGGGGGTAAATAGTGACACTCGTCTACTGGCATTTTTGAATTAATATGCCAAATTTTTGACTTTTGTTTATGTTTTTTACTAGGCTGTTAAGTTTTTGGTCTTGATGTTAGGTTTGGACCATTTTAGGTTTGAGGTGAAGCGTTACAAATTTTTTTGAGGTCTGGTCTCAATTCTTGTCGAAGAAACTTTGCGCTCAGTATGAAATTTTAGCTTTTCTTAATTAACTGGAAAAGTGACTGTTCCATGTTCTCCAGGATCATTCTACCAGTACAAAGAAGTATTTTAAGTAACAAAATATGAATAGTAATACTCACAACATTAAATCTTCTTGTAAAAAAAATTAAACGTGTATTTTATAAAATGATCAACCTGACCTAACCTAACCTAGATGTAGGGCCTTAAAGAATATTAGCCGTCAAACGTTGTGGAAGGGCTGTCTGTCAGTGAGAGTACACAAGAAGTGCAGCTGCTAACATGTGGTAAATGGCAAAGCCGTTGCTCCTCACATTTGGAAACCCGTAAACATCTGTATCCTCTTTGATAGAAAAATATTGAGTTTTTCCTCTAAATTTAGATTTGGCACTGTTAATATTTCAGAAAACACTTAAAAACATTTTACAACTATTTTGTGATGTCAAGAAGGGAGGTTTATCAAAGGAAATTGATGGTGTCACTATGTACGCCCAAGCTGTCACTGTTTACCCCAGGGTGGGGTAAATAGTGACAGTTGCAAGGTTTACCAGAAAAGCTTTTGGAAGGGATTTGTGTGACTCAGACAACTCGAATGCTACCTTTTCTTACTCAAATAATACCATACTTCAGTTTTATTTTTAAAAAATGGGAAAATGTCCATTAAGACGCCTGTAGGATTGAAAAGAAATTATCTGTCACTATTTGCCCCCCTCTCCCTTACTGGGAAGGGCTTTGGGCAACGGGCGGCCGGCCTGCTGCAGAGATGGGGCTCAAGCAGTGCGAGTGCACTCAATTTAAGACTCTCGATGCAGCTGATCCACCTCCAACTGACCGGCACGAGCATTATCATTACGTGCAGCATGGACCCACCCATCCACCGCAGTCCGAGGTTCGCCGCAACAGCAACAAGGGGCGGACGTTCCAGGCGCAATGGTACGCTAAGCTGGAGTTCAGCCTCAACAAGATGGTGGCTTCAAAGACGTACGTCCCTGTCGCTCAAGGACGTATCTCCAGGCGAAGAATTTCAACACCACAAATGCTGAGGCAGTCCAGGGGCGGACTGGCGGTGCTAGGGCCCCTCCGGGAATGAGTCTGAAGGGCCCCACTATCACCGTATCATAAACGAAACTTTCAAATTCAGGAAAGTGCCTGTTTTCTCTTTAAATGTAATTTTGTTTCGAGTTTTAAGTGATTTGATAGAATCGTGTAGGTAAAACGGCAAGGGGCGATGCGAGATGCAAGAAATTTCTAAAAGGAAATGGAAAAACCTCAAACTGCGAGCGAAGCGAGCTTCGCGCCCACGACGTTTTGGCTTGTCCCACGGATTCTACTAAAAACGAATATAACTGTTCGAAAGTCAATTAACTAACCAGCAATCAGGGGCGTCGACGCGTCCGAATTTCAGGGGGGGGGGGGGGGGAAAATGGCCCTCTGCCGTGCGGGTTGCCTACCTTCAGGCGTTTTTGTTAAGCGCATAAAACAAGGAAATGTATGGGTAAAAGAACGAAAAAAGGGGATAAACATGTGACTAAATATCTTGCATTCAATTCACAAGGTTTGCTTGGCTTGACTTCGTTCGTACCGTTGAAAACAAGTCTGTGCCTGCTGCTATGTACTCGGTGGGTGTCGCGGCCACCGAGCAATTCGAAAAGGTTCAGCAAAGAGCGAAGTAAATACTTTTTGGCCTCCTTTTGGCCCGAAATGTTGCCCCCCCCTGCCCCCCCCCTGGACAAAACTGGGGGGGGGCATTGCCCCGCTGCCCCCCCCCGGTGTCGACGCCCCTGCCAGCAATAATGGTGCTGATGAAGCTACGGCATTTGAGCCGTCCTCCGCGAGTCCTAAGAATTAGCGTCCTTCCTAAAAGTACAAAATGATCAATTGTGCGAGCGAAGCGAGCTAGAAGCCAGGGCTTTTCATCGCTTTAAGCCTGTTCAAATGACTGATTTGGCAGTTTCGTGGCGCTCTGATTTTAGTCCTTGGCATCTGGGGCCACAGACAGGGTCTTTGGGGGCCCCGGCCGGGCTAGGGCTCACCCGGGAATCCCCGGGCGCCCGGGCGGGCCAGTCCGCCCCTGAGGCAGTCATTTTGGAGATATCAGATAGGTACAAGAAATACCTCGACCCTGAGCAGGCGATGGACTATGGACATGCATATGCATGGATATGCAGCTGGACTGTTCATTGATCTGAAAAAAGCATTCGATACGGTCAACCATAATCTACTGCTGGAGAAAATTGAGATAGCAGGCATAAGAGGCCCTCCTCTACAATGGATAAAAGTTACCTCAAAAACAGAAAACAATATGGAGTGCTAGACCTGGTGGAAAGTTGTCTGTTGGATGTAAAATGTGGTGTCCCGCAAGGCTCAGTGTTGGGTCCTATTCTATATCTAATATACGTTAATGATATCAAATATCTGAACTTGCTAGGAAAGTGGTAAGGGAATGTGGGGCGATTTGTAACACGGGCGATTCGTAACATATGCGTATATTAATTTAAGTGGAGGGAGCAGAGGAAAATCTGAGTATGGCCCCTCTTTCACTTAAGTAGAGGGTCCTTGAACAATCGAAGCGGATGTGATCGGTGCTCAGGTATGGTTTTGGAGGGCGTCGGAAATATAGGGTACACCGAAAACATGCAAATCTTTTATTTTGAGTTCTAGGAAGTTTCTGTCTGAGGCTCCCCAGGTATGAATCACCATCGAAGTACCGTAGGGGCCTTGAAGCGTGACCCCTTTACAATGTAACCACGTGGCATAAGTTGCTTTTACTTTGTCCAGTGATAGTTAGGGACGTATTCCTTGCCTAACAGGCATTTGGGGTGATTCGTAACAGACCCGTCAAAAAACAAGAATTTAAGTAGTTTTAGCAACTAACTTCTTGAATTATTTCTCGAATCATCTGCTGCCCGATTCCAATACATTTACACAGCTCAAAATGCATTTTAAAGCGAGTTATTCTATTCTTTCCTCCAAAATTGAAAAAAGTGAGTTTAGGGTTGACATAGCCGGTCAGTTAATGCTGAGGCGGTCAACGGCAGCTTGTAATGTAGATTTTAAGGCGTCTGCAGGACATTCGAAGAACAACTGCTGAAGGATATAACATTCCCGACGATGTGTCATTTAATGTGTAGGATGTTATGAAAAGCCCCATGGCTGTTACAAATCGCCCCATGCTGGGGCGATTCGTAACAGCATGCAAGGGTTTGGAAAGCGTCTTAGATTTCCAAGATTACGGATTCCAGATTGATCCAATGGAGCTGTACAGTCTAGATAAAGGGCCAGACTGCCCAACTGGCACAAGTTTGGAACCGATATGCAGAATGTTCTTTATTTTGTAGAGAGAATTCCGAAATCTGTTACAAATCGCCCCACATTCCCTTACCTTTTTGCTGATGATACTGGTATTTTCTATTATGCAAAAACAATTAATTAATTAACTGAGTTTATACAACAGGACTTAAATACTTTATTTGCATGGTTTAAATATAACAAACTAAAAATTAATGTAAAAAAATCAAACTACATGATCTGTAGCAAAAAGGCACCCACCACCATTATAGTAAACCCAACACTGAATGGCCAAGAAAAAGCTGATCAGGTCAAATACCTTGGCCTGATAGTAAACTATCTTGGGATAAACATGCAGCAGCAATAAGATCGAAAATTGCGCCTCTAATAGGTCAACTATTTAGACTCATCTAAAAAAAGGGTTGTATAATGCAATAATACACTAACACTTTATGTATTTGGTTCAAATTTGGTCTACCTGTAACTCTAGCAACCTTGATCTTATCTGTGTGCTTAAAAAAAGGGCCCTATAAGCTATGTATTTGACCTTCATTCTCGTTATCCCACAAAGGAACTGCATAACACTGCTAGTATACCACAACTTGATCACCACATTGCTGTTGCTAACTCAGTGCTGACCTCTAAGCTTAAAAATAATTTAATTTTGAATAATATTGAGCTTGTGGCATAACAATACCAGACATAAAAAGCAAATCAAACAAGCATTTCCTACCTCCACTAAGTATGGTCTTCACAGTGTGCTATATAAATCTATATCTCTCTTCAATAGCTTACCAGAGAATGTAAAAAACTCTAAAAATGTGATTGCCTTTAAGAAAAGTGTGAACCTGTACCTTTTGTAACTTTGTGATTGTATTCGTCTGTTTTGTGATTGTATCTGTCTGTAAATCAATGAACTGCCCCTGACCACCTTATTGCATACCGCCCTGCTCTCTGGGCAGCCAAGTATAATAAATAAATAAAAATACGATTTCAAGAAATCCTAGGAGTCACGAAGTCAATTTGATTATTGTGTAAGAGTGTGGAGAAAGAAAAGAAGTGGTGTTGTGAAGTTGTGGCTCAGGGGACTACCAATGGCAGTGGTACCAATGTGGTCGATGTGCCACCCGTCGAAATTTAAACTTGACAAAATAGAAATCAAAATGCTGGTAAATTCAAAAAATTCCAATGCTGATGTATTCCGCAGTGTTCTGACAATGGGACATCTTTAAAGTCCATCATTATTAAAATGTTCTTGGCAGAAAGAAGGCAGTAAATTAATTTTCACGGGTTGGCAACTTGTTTCTCGGCGTCTGCGCCCTTGCGAAAATCGCGAAGCTGAAAGCACCAGCAGTCGCGCATTAAAACTGCCCATCCATTGTTGCTGACGTTGAATTGTTTGGCTTGTTTCAAAAGGCTATGGTTATCTAGTCATGTTTTCTTCAATTCTGTGTAATAGTTCTCCCTTACAACGTATCAACACCACGACGGTTGGTTTGACAAACTTCATAAACTCGGGAGGGATGGTTTCGAAACGTGGGTGAGTCTTGTTCGAGGCACATGAGCACTGCAAGTCGCGAGGTGGAGCGAAGTGGTCCTAGTGCTAACTGAATCACAACAACAACAAAATTGTTTTATTGACAGAAAAAAAAGGAATATTTGAGAAACTGTATGTCAGAAAAAAAGAACTTTTGTTTTGCTAATTTTCTGTGAATATTTTTTTAGAAAGTCATCGCACAAAAATTGAAAATTTGTTTTACAGTCAAACTCCTCGTTTTGTCCCTCTACCCGGGAGTTGCTTTAGACAAAACGAAGGACCGAGCCCGGCCGGCCGATGCGGATTAGGCCGCCGTAATCCCTACCTTGGCCGGCCAGCGACGGCAGGCATCGGCCGGCGGGGCGCGACCCGGGCCACGGTGGTGGGGATGACTCTGGGACAAAACGAAGGACCCAGAAGAGGGACAAAACGAGGAGTTTGACTGTATATGAATTTTCATGAGCAGGAAACAAAGAAAAAACAAGAAAGAGAGGAAAATTAATACAGATTCCAAATGCTACAGTTGGTTAAACTGTTAACAGGTTGCAAACCTACTGCGCATGTCCAAAAACACTCCAATCAAGAAGTATTATTGGATAGTTCTACCCGAAAAACTGCGTTCGAACCGACACCAATTCTATTGTTGCATCTTGTCTACCTGCAGTCAAAGAAATTTTTCATTTCAAACGTGCTGATTTCAGCTTTTGGAGTAAGCTGTACAGACCCAAAAAGAAGCTCGGCTATTGGTCCGCCCCGGCTCGGCTCCCCCCACTCCCTTTTTTTTCCTTTGACGAGTCGAGTTTTGCCATGGAAACGGCGATTTTGACAGCAAATTTCTCAAAATTGGCCACCAACTTTTTAACCAGATTTCAGCATGAGAATCAGCGTTCAAAGTTCTACAAGTCTGCAAAGTCTCATTAAAATCGTATAGAAAATTTCCGAAATGCATAAAGGGCCACACAAATTGAATCTCGGGCCGGCTGAATCCTGGGTATACTATAAGGCTACTTCGTGCCTAAAAAAAAATTGGGGCTAAGTCAGGTTAATCCCGATTTCCGCTTCCTGGATCTACTGTGGGCGAACTGTCTTAAAAACTGTGTGAAAACTGTCGTAGAAGGTCCTAAAAAGTACTAGTATTTTGGCAGTTAAAGCACAGTGCAATTAACCACGCACTGCTTATGGAACACGATTATCGGCCTCAGTTTTGGCGCAGTTTTTCTTGAAATTTCTACAAAATAGCGGTTAAAGTAGTTGAATAGCAAAAGGTACGCCCTTTGAGCAGAGGCCAAGGCTTATCTGAGGCCGATAGTCGTGTGTCGTCCAGACTCCATGAAACAACATAACCAAACTTTTGGCGCCGGCACGGCGTGGCACGCCACGGCCGCCCAGTAAAGGAGAAAAGAAACCGAATTGATTCACAGAAAACTCAAGTTTGACGAACACAAGGGCGACCGACTATATGTCTGTCTCGCACACCCAGCTCCGTCTCGCTCGCCCGGCCAGCGGCGGCGTGGCGTGGCGTAGCTGCCTCACCCGTGTCGCCCGGACTGCGTTCGCAAGGCGAAACAACGCGGTCGAATCGTCACCTGGACAGGCCATCCCCCCACCCCTTGACGCTGCGGATGGAACGGATGCTCGACGGATGGATATGCACACCTCTGGCGATGGTCCGGCTCGGCTAGTGTGCGGAGGAACAAACAGCATTAGCACGCGCTGCCAGCCAGCCTGGCGCCTGCCAAGTAGGCAACCCATCCTGCAGTCGTGCTGGTTGGCTGGCATTCAGCGGGTCAAGCACGTCACAGACCCATGGGGGAGTCTCAGGGAAGCCCTACCAGCCCTCAGGCTGCACTGTGGGAAAAAATCACAGTAAATCCTGTAGTGATAAGTACAGCTGTCACTGTTGTTCAGAGTACAGGATTTCCTGTACTTTTTAACAGGATCTACTGTACTTTGTACGGTATTTACTGTACCACAGGAGTGGAGTACGGAATATCCTGTACCAGGTGCAGTAAATACTGTAGCCAGGCACAGTAAATCCTGTGTTTTGAACTACAGTAAATCCCGGCAAAAAGATTAACGGGATTCACTGTGGTTTTTTCGCACAGTTTGCCTGCCTGAGGTGCGTTTCGCATCAACCAGCCAGTCTAGCGGTGGGCCTTCCCCTCCCCAACACCTCAATACATTGCATACACTGTTATTCAACGAATGTGACGTCACATTCGTTAGAATGTGAATTTTGTCACGTTCGTTTGAATGAGATGTCACATTCGTTTGGACGTGACAAGTCCATCATGCGGAGGGCTGATGCGGGTGTCATATTCGTTGAAGCGTGGATCAACATTCAAACGAATGTAACAATACCAACATCCTAACGATTCGTTGAATAATAGTGTATAGCCTACACCTCCACATCATCGGCATCAGGGGCCCATTTCCACGGACCCTATTTGTCTCACTCCATTTGAAAAGTCTAATCGTACAGATCTGCCGCGGCTAGCCTAGCGATGACTGGGTTCGGAGAATGGACCGTCTGCCGCTTGCCAAGAAAACCAAATGACTAAAAAATAGATACAATAAACCCATAACCAAACTCACCTTAATCGTCGTCTCCCTCAAAGCAAGCCGCCACTTCACGCCAGGCCTTTGTCACCATATAACGTCTGCCGCCGTGGTCTTTATTTGTAAAGTCATACAGAATCTTCTTGTTCTTCACGAAACCTGCCAAAGCCTCTCTGCTGTAGGGCACCTTCGGCAGGTGAATAAATTCCTTGTCGCCCATATTGGAGATAGTACACGAATGTAAACTACTACGGCCAACGGTGGGAGAAATCTGGTTTTCACAATATGGGCCTTCGGGAACAGGAACCTCAATCATTGGCAGCAAAGGGTATTTTTCTGTATCATTCTCTTTACCAGTGTTGTTGGGGACTCGGATCTCATGTCCAATTACGAATCGGTTTCCCCGTACTTTTACTTTTCCAAACACCAAGCGCGAATCCAGAGGGGAGGCTAAAGGACAATGGCTCCCTCCCCTGACCCCTAAATAGCAGCGTAACATGTTGTAAAACGCCAAACTCTGCCCCTGAACGTATGTCAACAAAATGTGCTACTTTGCTCTAGCCCCCTTCTTTAGGCCGACGTTATATCAGCCACTGTCAGCACTGCAACGTAAATGGAAAGACTCTGCGCCAAAATATGTCACACCTGAAAGTCTCGCCAAAATTTGGTCATCAAAAATGTCTTGCCACAAAATGGTAACTCTTTTGTGTCTGACCTCAGGCCGCATCGTACTGACTGGGTGCATAGACTCACCATATTGTGGTCAGACCAAAAAGTCTCACCATTTTGTGGTGAGACATTTTTGTCTGACCAAATTTCGGCGAGACTTTCAGGTCTGACCAAAACTTGGCAAGACTTCTTGTCTCGCCTCTGACTTGGCGAGAAGTGTGGCTTCTGGATTTGTGGTGAAATGGCGAGCACCGGCCCAAAACGTAATAAGTCATGTCTGTTTCATACAGCGATCCCAGGCGATTATAGACAAACGGAAACAACTCTGAAATTTTTTTCTGGTCCGACGGTAATTGTGTACTACTTTTTATATTTTTGGGTGAGTGGAATTTCATCCCAATCTGAAAGCGTCACCTACCATTGTTGCCCTGCCCTCATGCAATGCCCCATGAAGAAAAACAGCTTCCGGACCTTAGTCACTTCGATAACGCGAGGGCCATACATTGTACCCAGCAGCTTGATAAGACGTATCGAAACAGTTTCTTGCTGCGTCCGCGACCGGCTGCGAGTATTGCACGCTATTCCCGTCTTCAGTAGACAGAGAGATTGGCCTTGATGCGACTGACGGTGCCCATCCATCAAGGTCGCTCGATCTTCCGTCCTTCGACGCGCAATAGGGTATTCCAATGCTCTCCAGAACGGAAGTGATAGATGGGAGTATTGATGAGAAATTTACGCGGCGAAGTTCATCCGCCGCGTAGATTTCGTATATCAACTGCCATTTTTGACTGCTGTTGTCGTTCTTGTAACTTCCGTTCTGGGAGGGCGTTGGAATACTCTATTAAGCTTCCGCTGGTCAGAAAGGGCAACACCACAACAGGGGCGTAATTTCACGGATCGAAAGAAGAGGGCGATTACCTGAAAGGTCTGCCTACAAGTCTGCCTACCTTCAGTGCGCGTGTCTTGTAGTCTGGTTTTTAGTCCATGTGTGTGGAGAGGGGCGAAGACCCCGTACTTCAAAAAGAAAGAAAGAAAACGGCTTACTTGCTAGCGAGCGAAGCGAACCAGAAGGCACAACACTGAAAATTAAATGGGAAGACTTTCCGCCAAAATATGGCAACTTTGGCCCGTCCCGTACATTTCAAATTTCACGAATGCCGTCTATATTTCACTCCAACAGGCTGTAAACCTGGGTCAGGGTCAAAATAGATGTTATTTTCGTCATCAGCACCCCCAATGGGAGGCATTGCACTTCATGTGCAATGCTTGCATTGCACCAATTGACGCTATACTCATAGCGTTTGGATTCTCAGTGTAACCCTTGTTTTCCTGGGGAAGTATCACTCCTTTTTCGGTGATACGTGGAAGTTGCACCGTATATTTGGTGATACATTTTAGTTTGTCGCTTTTTCGGTGAGACAGAACTGTCTCACTCCTCAGAGGGCAATAAGATATTTCTCAATTTGATTTACAGTGGTATGGAAATGGAAGGGAATGACCCCCAGCTGCCAAGCGGGCCAACCTGATAAGATTCGGCAAGGCGGGCACTCCCCCTGACTGTAGGTGGACTTGGCATGACGACGTCTGGGCGGCCCGTCTGGTCGATAAGAGAATCGGGCGCTGTGAACTGAACTGCGGGAGGCAGGCCAGCATCCGGGCTCAGTCCAGTGGAGAGCCTTGCCATGAGTGCAGTGGCTCTGTTCGTGCTCGCGGTGCTGTGGAGCTGCACAGCGCATGTGTGTAAGTAAGAGACCACTGCAGTGCCAGAAAAAGTGTGAATAGTACAACAAAAGTACAATGTAGAACGTTGTACTGTAGACAGTACACATCAGCTTGTATTCAGTCAGTAATGAACACTCAAAACATCCGCAGAATCGGAATTTTCTGTTAAAATGTATTGCCCTCTTAAAATCAGGGGGAAAAGATCGTCCTTTTCAATTTTTGGCCCGTCTCATTAATTTTTTGTAAAAAAATGACGGAGGTCCGTCCGTTCGTTCGTACGTTCGTCCGTTCGTCCGTCCGTTCGTCCGAGGACTTCCCGTGGTCCGATCTTGATCAAATTTGGTATGCTGCCTCCTTGGGTGGTCCTAAGAGCCGCCCGGTGGCAGCAAATCCGATCCGAGCCCCGGGGGCGCTGCTGCAGGTGCATCATGGTCTACATAGGGTCGAGGAGGATCTCGGCAACGGATGCAGCTAGGAGGGCATGTTGGGGTATTTTTGGAATCGGGGCGACGAGCAAAAAACAATGGTGCCAGTTTCGAGCGTATCGGAGAAGTTCGGATCCGGGTTCAAATCCCAGCGGGGAATTTTTCGAACATTCTTTTTATTCGAGTTTTTGCATTGTTTCTGATATTTTTAAGGGTGCTGATGACGAAAACGACATTAATTTTAACCCCAGACTGAGGTTTAAATCCCGTCGGGGTCAAACATCGGCGAAATTCGTACGTTTCTTAATGTACGGGACGGGCCAAAGTTGCCGATGTATATCGCTACTTTTCCTGTTATTCTCACTGAAAAGCTTGACAGTGGCTTATCAATGAACCTTGATTACAGTTGCCTGGGGAGGAAATTTGGGCACTGGCGATGGGGTCATTACTTCACCGCAGTGGCCAAACACGTACTGGAACAATCAAAAGGTTGAATGGATTTTGGGCCCATACCCTCAAGCGACCTCGGTGTATTTCGCCTTCACAGAAGCAGAGTTTGAGGTAAGTGACACGTGATCGGTCACTGGCTGGACGATAGCCACTACAGGGCGGCGCTGACCCGTCTAGATGCTCTTTTGACAGAATGCACTGCAAATCCAAGTGTAGGACAGGTCGACACTTTAAGGCGTAGACCAGTTTGTCCTACGCTTGCAAGTGTCGACCAGCTGTGTCCGACGCTCTGAAGTGTCGACCACACTGTGTCCGACGCCTGCATGTGTAGGACACTGTTTGTCCTACGGCAAATTACACCGAGTTTCACTTGCAGACGTCGGAAGTGCTGTGGTCGACACTTGCAGGCGTCGGACACTGAGTGGTCGACACTTCAAAGCGTCGGACACAAGTGGTCGACACTTGCAAGCGTAGGACAAACTAGTCTACGCTTGAAAGTGTCGACCTGTTCTACACTTGGATTTGCAGTGTGGCGTCGATCGCACTGTTCGGGATTATTTTGTGAAATTACGATTAATTGTCTGTTAAATTTGTACCACAAACTGCTCGTAAATTTAAAAAACGATCTGATCATCCACCTTTTTTTCGTCAATTTACAAAAATATTCTTAATTTTACAAACTTTATCCTCAAATTTTGGTCGTTTCAGGCATTTTTTCTTCCTATATAGTAAGGAAACAACGGACGAAAACGCACTTTTTCAGAGGGGGAACTTCAACAGGTATAAGGTCCCATCAGGTATAATCCCATCAGGTATAATGTTCTTCAGGTATAATTGGCAACACGCATAATTCTCAACAGGTATAATGGATTTATTTTTTGTTTCATCAGGTATAATTTGCATCAAGTATAATTCCCAACAAATATAACTTTTATTTTTTAAAATCTTTTTTATATTTTACAATAAATTTGGCTCTGAGGAGCGATCCAATTCATAGTCTGGGCAACAGTGACACCTTGCTAGGTGGGTGCATTCAGAAAGCGAGGCAATAGTGGAACCTTGGCCAAGGAGGGGAATCCATTCCAGAACCAGGAAGAAGACTTGAAATCAGAACTGACAATTAATGCTTTTCACTCTGTAGGCCACTGTACATCACTACACTAAACTAGAATACTAATCAAAGTACAATAATTGGTACGCCACCTCCGCTTCGGATACCATCAATGCAAAGCACACTGGGAACAACTGTAACGAAGTGCCAAAACATCTTTAAGTATCGATGCAGTACCGTACATCGCAAAGTACACAAGAAAGCCTTGTAGACTTTTTGAGTGCTTGCAGCTGCAAACAGTGTGCTCACCATGTCTTGGTAGAGGGCCAAAATGACTAACAGCTGCCTACTAGATGGTTTCTCAGGACGGACGGAAAATGTTCCATCAATTATGATCCATACTGCAGCTGGTGAAATTGTGTATTATGCCTGATGGGAATTATATTTGACGGGAATTATATTTGATGACATTATTCCTGATGGGAATTATATGTGAAGAAAATTATATCTTATGCTACGCCTGTAATATCGGTTATATCTGTTAAGAATTATACCTGAGGAGATTTCATGTTAATCAAGAATAATTATTTATGCATTATATCTGATGAGAATTATGCTTGATGAGATTATACCTGATGGGACCTTATACCTGATGAAGACTACTCTTTTTCAGACTTGCTTTTACAATCATACTTGTAAATTAACGATTTCACCTGTAAATTTAAGAAGCAGTTTGTAAAATGATGAACAATTTGTCAATTTACAATTTTCTTTGTAAAAAAACAATGCAGTTCGTGGAACAAATTTAACAGACAACTATTCTTAAAAATAAAGCTTGATTTGTAAGAAAACAAGTTTACGCGTGATAAAACGAGAATAGTCGTAAGATAACGATTTTATCAGTAAAACTACGATCTTTCGTCAGTAACATTAAGGTTTCATCGTAAAATTACGAATTTATTCCTAAATTTATCAGTAAAGTTTGTCGAAAATATGACGATTGTTCGTTTCATGAATCTTGTAGTTATTTTACGAATTATTATTTGTAAAATTACAACACTAATTGTTGGGTTTACTGTTGTAAAATGACGACTTCCCTTAACAGTGCGGACGTCGGGGAGCTAAGCAACTGTCAATCCAAGTTTCGTCAAAAATCCAACTTCTGGTTAAAGTTGGATTGACGTAGTTCCCGTGACTCCCGACAGGTGGCGCCACCAGCGACCCGCACCATATATTTGAACATGCAGAGCTTTTATTTCGACAAATTTCATATATAACAATCATCAGATGATTCTTGACATCCCACAAAAGGAATAAAAGCACCACACTTCAAGTTTTGCACAGGAAATGTATAAATTCATGGGGGCGTGCTATTTCGCTCGCGCTTATGTAACTGAAACTGACCGTGTGGCATGCACTGTTCGGGATTATTTTGTGAAATTACGATTAGTTGTCTGTTAAATCTGTACCACGAACTGCTCGTAAATTTCAAAAACGATCTGATCATCCATCTTTTTTTCGTCAATTTACAAAAATATCCTTAAACTTACAAACTTAATCCTCAAATTTTGGTCGTTTCAGGCATTTTTTCTTCCTATATAGTAAGGAAACAAGGGACGAAAACGCATTTTTTCAGACTTACTTTTACCATCATACTTGTAAATTAACGATTTCACCTGGAAATTTAAGAAGCAGTTTGTAAAATGATGAACAATTTGTCAATTTACAATTTACTTTGTAAAAAACAGTGCAGTTCGTGGTACAGATTTAACAGGCAACTATTCATAAAAAATAAGCTTGATTTGTAAGAAAATAAGTTTACGCGTGATAAAACGAGTAGTCTTCATCAGGTATAAGGTCCCATCAGGTATAATCTCATCAAGCATAATTCTCATCAGATATAATGCATAAATAATTATTCTTGATTAACATGAAATCTCCTCAGGTATAATTCTTAACAGATATAACCGATATTATATAATAAATACAAGCGTAGCATAAGATATAATTATCTTCACATATAATTCCCATCAGGAATAATGTCATCAAACATAATTCCCGTCAAATATAATTCCCATCAGGCATAATACACAATTTCACCAGCTGCAGTATGGATCATAATTGATGGAACATTTTCCGTCCGTCCTGAGAAACCATCTAGTAGGCAGCTGTTAGTCATTTTGGCCCTCTACCAAGACATGGTGAGCACACTGTTTGCAGCTGCAAGCACTCAAAAAGTCTACAAGGCTTTCTTGTGTACTTTGCGATGTACGGTACTGCATCGATACTTAAAGATGTTTTGGCACTTCGTTACAGTTGTTCCCAGTGTGCTTTGCATTGATAGTATCCGAAGCGGAGGTGGCGTACCAATTATTGTACTTTGATTAGTATTCTAGATTAGTGTAGTGATGTACAGTGGCCTACAGAGTGAAAAGCATTAATTGTCAGTTCTGATTTCAAGTCTTCTTCCTGGTTCTGGAATGGATTCCCCTCCTTGGCCAAGGTTCCACTATTGCCTCGCTTTCTGAATGCACCCACCTAGCAAGGTGTCACTGTTGCCCAGACTATGAATTGGATCGCTCCTCAGAGCCAAATTTATTGTAAAATATAAAAAAGATTTTAAAAAATAAAAGTTATATTTGTTGGGAATTATACTTGATGCAAATTATACCTGATGAAACAAAAAATAAATCCATTATACCTGTTGAGAATTATGCGTGTTGCCAATTATACCTGAAGAACATTATACCTGATGGGATTATACCTGATGGGACCTTATACCTGTTGAAGTTCCCCCGATAAAACGAGAAAAGTCGTAAGATAACGATTTTATCAGTAAAACTACGATCTTTCGTCAGTAACATTAAGATTGCATCGTAAAATAACGAATTTATTCCTAAATTTATGAGTAAAGTTTGTCGAAAATATGACGATTGTTCGTTTCATGAATCTTGTAGTTATTTTACGAATTATTATTTGTAAAATTACATCACTAATTGTTGGGATTACTGTTGCAAAATGACGACTTCTCTTAACAGTGTGCTCATTTTTCTTCAACCCTACGTAATTTTTCACGCTCTATCGTTCCGTGATGTGAAATTATGTTAAAAAAAACACAACATTTGCACAACTTTTGCAGCTTTTTATGAAATTTTCGACTTATTTTAATCGTTTTGGGTGCCGATTTCAGGGTCTAGATGGGCTCAGGAGGGACGAGTGTCTTACAGAACGACGTCACAGGGTCACTAGAAGTCCAACTAAGGGGAGGGGGTGTGGTAGTAGGGCATTTTTTAAAAAAATGAGAAAAATGGCAAAGAACGTGTTTTGCCGATGCGCGACCTTTAAGTTCTGTTCAAAAGTTCAGAAAAAAATCATCGAGTCCTATTTTTACATAAGAAACTTAAGTCCGGGGTGAGAGGTTGCATTTTCAAACATCGAATTTTTCGTGGGACAGTCTAATACCGGCTCAAAAGCAAAAATGGTTTTTTACCCGTTTAAAACACCAAAATTGTCACAATAATTACAGTTTTTATTGAATTTTCAAAAACGAGACGGCAAAATGTTCGGTTTTAGATGGCAAACAAATTGCATTTTCACCAATTTTTCGTAAGACTTCGTCTTCAGTTTTCTGCCACCGATTTTTGCTCAAAGTAACACATATTTTTCACTATTTTGAGATATTTTTCTTGTTTCGGACGGCAGAGATCGGTCCCTATCCACTTTTTTATCTTACCATATCCCAAAACAAACCGACCACGTTAAATGGAGCCGTGCAAATCGATTTGCCTACCGTCTAGGGGCAAGCATTTCGTTGTTTTCAATATAAAGAAAAGTGTGTCGAGCTCTTGTGCCGCAATTTTCTTCCGATCTTCAAACCCGAGATGTCATTTTGTTCAGTTTTTCAAGGCAAACTAAAAAGATTCTAGTCATGTTTTCGACAGACTGCGTTTCAAGGTCCGTTTCTGCTTGTAACGTACAGAAATCGCCTAAATTCGATTTTTTTTGTCACGTTTCGATTGTTTCCTTCGTCAGCGATCCCTGTGACCAGCCGATGATCACT